ATTTAAATAAAATAAAAATGATTTTTAGTTATTGTTATTGATAAAAATATTTTTAATATAATAAAAAAGAATTTAGTTAACAAAAGGAATAAGATAAATTAAAAACTAGGAAAAATTCCACTTTAGTACCCTGAACTTTGGGGGTAATGTCAAGTTAGTACCCAAACTTTCAAGCGTGTCATTGCAATCCCTAAACTTTCAAAAAGTGTCAAATTGGTCCCTACCATTAACTGACCATCAGCTATTTGTTGAAAATATCAAAACTACCCTTCAAAAGAAGACATTGTTCATTGTCTTCTACCTTGAGACTGAACCTATTACTTTCAAAGAAAAAGAGGAAAAACATGAAATATGATGGAGAGAAACAAAAAGCAAAGAAATAGCTACACAAGAATGTGTTTCATATCTAAAGGTAGAAGATAGTGACCCCATTAGTCTAGAATCTCAAACACCTCAACCAATTCAGTCTCAAGATAGAAGACAATGAACAGTGTCTTCTTTTTGAAGGGTAGTTTTGAAATTTTCAACAGATAACTGATGGTTGGTTAACGATAGGACCAACTTGACACTTTTTTGAAAGTTTAGGTAGTACAATGATAGGTTTGAAAGTTCAAGTACTAACTTGACATTACCCCAAAGTTCAGGGTACTAAAGTGGAATTTTCCTTAAGAACTAATATCAATTTAAAACTAATATAGAATAATCAAACAATTATTAGAACCAACTTAATTTCCATTGAATATACTTAAATAAATAAGGAATTTAAATTTAATAAAAACTTAATATACTAAAATAAATTCAATTTTTAATAATTTCAAAATTTAATAAAAATATTAATCTTAAATACAATTTAATTGTTTTAAAATCAATTTAAATTCCATTCAAAAATAAGAAAATTTATAAAAACCTTCTTGGGTTTTCTAACAATCCTATGAAACTCCCCAATGTTTTGATATTGACAAAAACCCACCCTATTGTTTTGAAAAAGGTGCAAATACCTTGCTTTCATCAGTTCTGAAATGTTGATGTAATGTACTAATTTTTTCACTTTAGCATATCAAGAGAATTGGAAATTGGCCACTCTCACTAAAGTACAACTTAGATTGTGATCGGATAAATTAGACATAACCCTAAAAATCCTTCATTGAACTTATATAAACAACATTTAATTGGAAATTTTATAGAGCTCCATCTTCAATTTTACTTATAAATAAAGCATGTGCATCACACGGGTCTTGACTAGTCATCTGGGAGAGAACATCTTTATCTTCAACAAACATCTTCTCATTTAAGCTAGCAATCATCTACTACATTTGATCAAGGTTTTTTTTTTTTTGAAACAAGTATTGTATTGTATTATATTGTAATAAAATATGGGGAATATCAAGGAGAGAATGTACACTGGGAATGTTGAATCATGTTGTTGGCCATGGTATTGAGGCGCTGAACTATGAATTCAATGGGGGCTTCAGGTTGAGATGTGTCTGGTGAAGGAATTTCTGAGAGAAAGGGGTCACGAAGATGAGCCAACTGCCCAGAATAATATTTTAACAAGGAATATGAACCTAAAAGTTAGAATATAATGGGTGGGAAGAGAAGCTAATGTAATAGGAAATTAATAGGGATGAATTGCATTGGACTCAATTGAAATATGCTTGCTTGTTGTAATGGTTCCTTGTACCGTTTTCATCAATTATGATTTTAATAAATTATTCACTTATCAAAAAACAATGCCAGGATATTTAAGTTGTTGGAGATCAAATTACAGGCACTGTAATTGTTAGCCCCAATCCTCTTTTGAGCTTCTTTGATTAGTAAGAATAAAGTATTGTGTTAACAGAAAAACGAACCTGGGCTGAGTTCGCGAGGGAGGCGGCGGTAATGGCAAAGGCGCAAATTTGCTTCCCCTCACCTCAGCGCCGTCGATCGTCGTCTGTAAGACCTTCCAACCCTTTTTACCACTTTCCTTTCTGAACCGAAAAACGAGAATTCGACCTGATCAAGACTTGTAAACCTGAGAAAAGAAACCCTAAAAATATATAGAACGGAAGAAAAAGAAAAAGATGGCCGTCCGATTGAACTCGGATCCTAAGGCATCAGTGGGACAGAAAGGCAACGATTCGTTATCCTTCCACCGACGGGAGCGGGAGGTTGTCGCTGCTCTGTGAAACCAGCCTGACGCGGTGCCCTCCGTTCTAAGGACCATGAAACCCGAGCCTTCGCCCGAATCGCATGGCCCAACTCCTTACTTGGAACCGGGCGAACCGGGTCAAGCCTCTACAGATCCCACCCGTCGGATCGAGTTTATGTACGACCATCTTGATGCCCCCGCTCAGGGTTACAAGCTCACGCTACCGAGCTCGGCGAGCTATTTTGTATTCCTAGACTAATAAGGAAGTTAGATGTCTATCGTGTTAACGATGTGGGATATGGTGTCATTGACTCATTGCCCAAATTGAGGGAAGTTTAAATTGGGAAAAAGCATGTCATCTACGACTATACCTACTTGTTTTGTGGTTTATTTTTTGGTTGATTTTTTGTTAATGTTAAAAATTGAAAATAATAAAATAAAAAATAATTGATATAACAATTCAATTATAACTGTTGTATATTTTTTGTATATTGGATTTTAATAAAATAAAAAGTGATATATTATCAATAAAATTGTATAATATCTATACATCACATTATATCAATAATAATGTATTTCTTCATATTATAATATACAATTCTTATATATTTATACATTATTTATAGTTATTTTAACAATAAACTTGAAGTTACTAATATAATTATTGAATTTATATGCATTTTTATATTTTTCGTTTGTATCCATGTATTTCTAAAGTGTATCTATAACTATATCCAAGTTATACATTTTTGCACTTTTAGATTTATTTGTGAAGAATTTAAATATAAATATGTTACCTTGTATATGATTGATTTTGTATTTTTAAACTTTTGAGTTTTTCATGAAACATAGCTTCACTCATGTCGCAAAAATTCTATTTATTTCATTATTTTCTACTTGGATTGGGCAAATCACATCAAGCCTCGAAAACCCTGTACATCGTACCCGGGTCAATCTCGCGCTATTGAGCTTGGGGATATGGTATCATTTCCCAAATCAATGGAAGCTTTAGTTGGCAAAAAGCATGTCATTATAAAGCCCATTTGAGGGCTTCACCGTTAATTGAGCAGCTTTGAAGAAGCTACCAAAATTAGTTTTACTAGAAAGCTGTAAGTGCTTTTGGACCTTCGGCTTAGTTTAGATAGTGTATATACAAATACATTACCTTGTAAATGGTCGATATTTGTATTTCTAAACCTTGTATTTGTACTAAATAAATTTGTATTTGTATTCTTTCCAAATGGAGTCTTTCGAGTTTTTTTTCATCAAACATAGCTTCACTATTTACTTAGCTAGTATTTTATTATTTCTTTAATTATATTATGTTAATATTTTATTTATACTTTATTATTATATTTAATAATTAATATCTTTGTTTTTTATTATTAATTTATTAATATTTTATTACAATACTTTTATTTTATTATTAATATATTGTTATTATATTATTATTAATTTAATAATGTTTGGGGGATTTTTTGTCATGAATTCTTTAGTTCTTGATGGGAATCCCGTTCCATCAAAACAAACGGTTAGAATCAAAATGGCCATTCCGATTCCAAGCATCTATTTTAGGGAATCAAACAAACCCTACAAAATATACATGACATTTTTTACTATCGTGATTGGCTTTGCTTTTTCAAAACAAAAATAGTGGAATAATGGATGTATTTTTCCTAGTAATAAAATCAATATGTTTTTTGTTGATGTGGCAATTATTTTTGTTTTGAAAATTAAACAAAATCATACACAGTTATTCATGATTCAAAGTATTGAGTTATTGATAGGTGCATGCAATTCAGACTTTCAGAGAGCCAAAACAAATAGAAAAAGTTTCAAGTTACAAGCTTTGGAACAAGCCATCTATCTCTGTAGAGGTGTAATGTGGGCCGTGTCGGGCCAACACGACCCACATTTTTGTGTGGTTGTGCCAGCCCAACACGGCTACGTACTATGGTGGGTCGTGCTAGCATAGATCGTGCAGGTTGGGGTGGGCCCAACATAAGCCCAGGCCCGTGGCCCATGGCCATTGGGCCGGGTTGGTTTAGGTCGGCCTATATTATTTCATTTTCTTTTCTTATTTCACTATAAAAAATCAAAAAACATAAAAATTAATGAAAATTAAAGAAAAAATGACAAATTCAATGGTTGTAACAATAATTTGAAAAAATCATCTTAAAATTTTTTTCTATATGAATAATCAATTCGTACAATAAAAATATAAAATGATTAAATAAAATTAAAAATAATTAACAATGAAATAAAAAATGCTATAACAAAATAGAAAATAAAAAATTACAAATAACTTACAAGGTACAAATAAAATAGAAAATCTCAAAATTTACAATAATTTCAAATTTTGCAATAATTTAAAAAAAGAATTGTGGGCAAATTTCTTATATTACCCCTGCTACTATTTAACTATTTGAGAAACTCTACCTTACTGTGTATATATTGTCTTAAAGTATCCTATTATTTTTTACAATTTTCATCATTAAATGCCAAGGAAAATATGAAATGTTAAATTTGCAACCGATGACAATCCCTATATTTTCCTTCGCCAAAATCGGCCATAGAAGAAAGAGAAAAGAAGCTAAATTTTTATTTCCTTCTTCTTCTTCCTGAAAGAAAGAGAAAAGAAGCGGGAATCTCTTTATCTCTCTTTTTGTAGCAAAATCCCTCTTTTGAAAATCCTTATATTTTCAATTAGATTAGGGTTTTGAAAGTCTTCATCATCAAAATCTCGCCTGATCAGGATGTTTTGTGGTTGTGAAGGTTTCTTTTTAAAAGGAGACAATCTTTATGTCGTGAATGTTTCTTTTCTGAACTTTGAAGGAGAAGAATGAAGAAGATATAGGAGATCTCATCCATGGTCCTAATGAAGATGCACGAGATTGTTGAGGCCTATCTTGGTTCGACTGTTAAGAACGCCATTGTCACAGTCCCCGCCTACTTCAACAACTCTCAGCATCAAGCCACAAAGGATGCTAGTGTCATCGCTGGCCTGAATACCATGCGTATCATCACTGAGTACTCCATGACTACTGCCATTGCGAGAAGAATATCCTCATTTTTTGACCTTGGTGGTGGAACCTTTGGTGTCTCCCTCGTTACCATTGAAGAGGGTATCTTTGAGGTGAAGGCCACTACCAGAGATACTCACCTCGGAGGGGAGGACTTTGATTGATCGACCTTCTTCATCGACAATCGATTGCTTCTTCATCGATTCTGGGTCTTAAGTTTTGCCAATGAAGAAAACGACCAAGAAGATCCAAGCCAAGGAGGCGGCGCGAGTCACTTTGCACTTCTGGTTGCTGCCACCTCTTGTTGGCAGGTGAACACCGCCATCCACGCCATGGCCCTCCAGACGCACGTCCACTCCGGCGACGTTCGTAACCAGAAGGTCATCGTTCAGAAGCTCCAGGGCGAGCTCGACCGGACTCGGGGTGAGCTCCTTCACACTCGCAAGGGGAGCGAGTCCCAAGAGCTGCTCGTCCGAGACCAGGAGGCGCAGATCGCCAAGCTTTCTGAAGAGAGTGCGCGCTACAAAGAGGAGTCGTCGAGGGTGGCAGCAGAGAGGGAGCTCCTTCGCCAACAGGTTCAGGACTTGGAGTCCACTCTTCTGGACCAAACTCGGAACTTCAACAACATGGTGGAGGCCGAGCGGGAGAGAACGGTCTGGGACTTCAAGGACTCCCAGGAGTATCACGACCTCCAAGTGAAGTATGGCTCAATCTCGTACCGCTCCGAATTCAAGCTCTACCGCTGGTTGGTCCGAAAGAAATTTTCTGGGCTCAACCTTGACGACATTACCATGAAGGGCTTGTCTCCCGAGACGGTGGACCAGGCGAAGGAGGAAGAGCCTGACTCTCCGGAGGACGAGGACGAGGTGGAGGAGGTGGACCCCTGAGGCCGGCAGCGTTGGTTTTCTGCTCTGATTTCTGGTGGCTCTCGAGTGCCATAAACCCGGTCTTGAAAAGATCTTGTTGGGCGGTTTTGCTCTTTTTACCTTCTACTAAACTTTCTCGAGCTATTTAGCTCGATTCTTTTTTGAATGATAATGAAATTCCTTCCTTTTTATTCTAAGTATGGTGTGCTTATTTTTGCTAAAGCGATCTCGTCACTTGAGCTTTCAGAGCTACATGCCCGAGCTGTCCTTTAACGTTTAAGGCATCTATCTGGTGTACTGCAAAGTGATTACCATGTGTGCCCGAACTATGCGTTTGTTGGTTATTCCTTAGTTCAACCAACGTACTAAGATGAGCTATGCTTCATGGGTTTAAAACCGAGCTGCTTACGCCTCTGATATTTCATACTTTGCCTTCATCGCTGAAGTGGCTAAGTCTTTCTTGATGCCAAGGTCTCAGTTAGCTCGGTATTTTAGCCCTTAGGCTGAGGGGCTGACTTATAATCTACCCTTGAAGTTTGCCCATGCCATGGAGGTGACTAGGTCTTATTGCGTCGAGGTCGTGTTAGCCCGGCATTTTGGCCCTTAGGCTTTGGGAGTGACTCATGGTCTACTCAGTAGTTACAGGTAATATTGCCTTAAGTTGACAATATTCCATGCCCGAGTTACTTGTTTCTCTTCAAGGGTTTCGAGCTCGTATGTTCCTTCCTCGAGAACTCGTTTCACCCGGCAAGGTCCTTCCCAATTCGGTCTGAGCTTACCAACGCCGGGCTCAGGTACCATAACTTTTCGAAGGACCAGGTCGCTAACGCGGAGGTTCCGCTTCTTGACCCTGGCGTTATAGTACCGAGCTACTCTTTGTTGATAAGCTACGGTCCTAATATATGCAAGGTTCCTTACTTCGTCGAGTAGGTCGAGGTTGGTACGTAGCTCATCTTCATTTGCCTTGTCGTCATATGCTTCCAGTCGTAGCGAGGGAACCTCAATCTCAGCTGGGATGACTGCTTCGGTGCCATAGGTGAGGTTGAAGGGGGTTTCTCCTGTGGCAGTCTTCTCTGTGGTTCGGTAAGCCCATAGAATGCTGGGTAGATCGTCTGCCCACAGTCCTTTAGCTCGGTCTAGGTGCGCTTTGAGTCCGCAAAGAATAGCTCTGTTCGTAACCTCTGCTTGACCGTTTGCTTGAGGATGTGCGACCGAAGTGAAGTTATGTCGGATCCCCATGTCTTGGCACTAGTTCTGGAACTTGATGTTCTCGAACTGTTTACCATTATCAAAAATCAATACCCAAGGAAACCCGAAGCGGCACACTATGTTCTTCCAAAAGAAGCTCTGAACGTTCCGGGCTGTGATTATTACAAGGGGTTCGACTACTACCCACTTGGTGAAATAATCCACTTCGACCACTAGGAACTTCCTCTAGCTTGTTTTTGGTGGAAACGGTCCAAGTATATCGATGCCCCATTGCGCAAAAGACCACGGGCTAGTGAGATACTTGAGATCAGCAGCGGGCTGATGGTGGATGTTGGCATGCCTCTGGCACTTGTCACACTTTCTGATGAGCTCAATGGCGTCTGCTTTCATTGTTGGCTAGTAGTATCCCTATCGTAGTGCTTTTTGGGCGAGGGCCCTGCCCCCCAAGTGTCTGTCGCACAAACCCTCATGAGTGTCGCGGAGTACGAGCTCGGCTTCGGTAGGCCACAAGCAGTGCAGGTAGGGGAGCATGTAGGATCTTTGGTACAGTCGTTTGTCTATTATGACATATTTGGCCGCCTGACGCTCTACCCTTCTAGCGGCATTGCGGTCTGCAGGGAGGGTCCCATATAGTAGGAAGCTCGCGAACGAGTCGATCCAGCTCAGCTCTGCTTGAACGACGGGAGCGACCTCCTCTGCCCCCCCGAGAATGCTAGGCCGAGGCAGGTCGTCTATGTACACGGTCCTCATAGTGTTATCACTGGTGTTGGCTAACCGGGACAGGGCGTCGACCTCAATGTTCTTCGACCTTGGGATTTTCCTGAGGAAATATGACTGGAAATTGAGTAGGGCCTCCTATACTTTGGCTAAGTAGGCAATCATAGTCGGTTCGCGAGCTTCATACTCTCCTGTAACCTGATTGACCACGAGATGGGAGCCGCTACAGAAGATAATGTGCTTGGCTTTCATTTCTTTGGCTAGAGCTAGCCCGGCTATCAACGCTTTGTACTCCGCTTCATTGTTGGATGTCGCGAACTCGAAGCGCAGTGCATACTACAACTTTGTGCCACTTGGGCCGTGCAGGACTATTCCGGTTCCTCTGCCCTGCTGGTTCGAGGAGCCATCTACGTGAAGAATCCAGTTCCGCTGCAGCACTGGTTGCAACCTCACGATGCTCGGACTCAATTGGCCTGGGAGCTCCGGGCTCACCTGAAATGGGGGGCCCGTGCTCAACTAGCCTAGGGACTTCGGAGCTGAAAGTGCACTCCGCAACGAAATCTGCTAAGGCTTGGGCCTTAATAGCAGTCTGCGACTTATATTGGAGATCGTACTCGTTGAGCTCAACGGACAACTTCGTTAGTCGACCGGAGACCTCGGGCTTGAGTAAGACTTGCCTCAGAGGTTTGTTGGTGAGGACAGTAACAGTGTGAGCTTGGAAGTACGGGCGGAGCTTTCGGGCTGTGATAACCAGTGCGTATGCCATTTTTTCTATCTCCGGGTATCTTGTCTCTGCTCCCTACAACACTTTACTGACATAGTAGATAGGTCGTTGGACCCGATCTACTTCTTTTATTAGTACCGAGCTGACCACTTCATCGTTGGCCGAGAGGTACAGCTCTAAAACATCGCCCTCTTCGGGTCGGGTTAAGACCTGTATACTAGCGAGGTACTTTTTGAGCTCGTCAAATGTGATCTAACAATCTTGGGTCCATTCGAACCCTTTGCTTTTCATTGCCTTAAAGAAAGGCAGGTAGCGATTTGCCGATTTGGACATGAAGCGGCTCAGAGCGGCTATTCTGCCGTTCAACCTCTAAACCTCCTTCACTTTCTGAGGTGGTCTCATATCTACGATGGCCTTTATTTTGTCCGGGTTGACCTCAATGTCGTTCCGGTTCACAATGTACCCCAAGAATTTACCCGAGGTGACTCTAAAGGCACACTTATTCAGGTTCAACTTCATATTGAATTTACGCAGAATTTCAAAAACCATATTCAAATCTTGTATTAAGTCGCAAGAAAGCTGGGTTTTGACGACCATGTCGTCTACATAACATTCCACCTTTTGGCCAATCAATGGCTCAAACAGTTTATTTACAAGTCTTTGGAAGGTTGCCCTGGCATTTTTTAATCCGAAGGGCATGACCTTGTAACAGTACATGCCGAGCTCGGATATGAAGGCGGTTTTCTCTTCATCGGCTGGGTCCATCCTGATCTCATTGTAGCCCGAGTAGGCGTCTAGAAAGCTCAGCAACTCATGCCCCGAGGTCGCGTCCACTAGGCGATCAATTCTAGGGAGTGGAAAGCAGTCCTTTGGGCAAGCTCGGTTCAGGTCGGTGTAGTCGACGCACATGCGCTACTTACCGTTAGCCTTTTTCACCAGAACGGGGTTGGCCACCCAACTTGGGTAATGAACTTCCCTAATAAAATTGGCTGCAAGGAGCTTCCCGACCTCCTCATTGACTGCCCTCCACCGCTCTGGGGCTAGGTTGCGTTTCTTCTGTCTAACGGGCCTAACTACAGGATTAGTATTAAGCTTATGAGTTATGATGCTGGGGTCTATGCCGGGCATTTCCGCCACAGACCAAGCAAAAACATCTAAATTCTTAAGTAGAAAGTGTACCAGTTCGGATCGCAGGGGCTCCTCGATGGAAGCACCGATCTAAAGCGTTCGGGCAGGGTCCTCTGCCGAGGTTGGGATAGAGACGGTCTCCTTCATAGGCGCAGCTCACTCCTCGCTCTACTCCGTAGGTCGCTCCAGCTCGAGGATGTCGGCCACCTTGGCTTTTCCCTTGAGGGTGGCGACGTAGCATTTGCGAGACTCTAGCTAGTCACCTCACGCTACCTCGATGCTGAAGTCCGTGGGGAACTTCATGGCCAAGTAGTAGGTTGACACCACAGTCCGTAAAGCATGGGTAATCGGCCGACCCACTATGGCGTTGTACGGGGAGGGGGTTGCGACCACCAAGAAGTCGTGGTTGAGCCTCACAATGCTAGGCCAGGTGTCGACTTCCATAGGTACAGTCACCCTTCCTAGGGGCCGAACTTCCTCTCCGCTAAAGCCCACCAAGGGAGTGTTCGTGGGCTTTAGG